GTTATGCCGTAACACACATAAAAAAAAAATAAAAAAAAAAATATACCGACGAATTGAATACCTCCTTCTTTTGGGAAGTCGGTCAAAAAAAATAATATATCATTTGGAAACTGATTATTTCCAAAATGGTGAATTAAATATTTGATTTTATGTAAATAAGTAAATGGGCTTTAGTTGGTTTTGTCATTTATAAACAATAGCCGCAGACTCATTATTCATCACGGTTTCGTAAAATGCAAACCTCGTTGTAATGTTACCGCCACTCTGTTTCCGCGCCGATTCAATCATTACATTTTAATTATTCTGATGCTTCTTAATTTACCATTTCAATAATATTGGTATTGATCTACCCTCTCGAAGTTTAAACATCCGCTAGATAGCTATCTTGTTGTTACTTTTTATTACGTTTTTTTTTATATAGCATAAAGTGGCAAACGAGTAAACGGCCACTAGAATCCGCCAAAATGGCGAAGCGACCGCTGCCCATAGACATCCGCAATCGCAGATGCGTTGCCTACCCTTATACGACGGAGGAGGAGACGCACATAAAAAGGATATTTCCCCTTTCTGTGCATCTCCTCCACCGACAAATCCAATTCCCCTTCCCAACCTCTCCTTATAAGAAAAGGATAGTAAAGAGAAAGGGATTTAAATTAAGCCTCCGGCACCACACTCATCAGACGAAACGCGGAATTTCTTCCATTTCACGTCTGTCTTCTGTGTGGTCGTGGTAATACACCGGGCGCGCCGTCCCATTTGTGCTAAGATGTTAAAGCGGGCACTACCACTGTTAAAATGTGCATTTAAGGCTGTGACAAAATTATTTGTATTATAATTCACTTTACAGCTGCTGGAAATATTGTTGTAATGTTTTCCATGTTTTTAACGCCTATGTCATCTAAGTCGGAAACGTAACGTAATATTTATCCGACGTCATTATCATCCATTATTTCAGTGGTTGTATTTCTTTGTTTACAAATTAGAACGAAGGACAAATTTCCTACTTTAAAAACATAAATAGGTGAGTTAAGAAAATTCTTTTACTTTAAAGTATATTAAATTTAGCCCCAATGACGGGCTTTTAAGGTAATTGCGTTAGGGTGCAATTACAATGGACGGAGGTCCCCAGAGCGGATGTCTATCAGTGGAGATGAAATAATATCCGAGATAAAATGAATGAGAAATTTTAGTTAAGAATCATTTTCAACGCTTAAACTTTTAAGTGAACCATCACTTTCTTAGCAACTCTTCTAATAGACGGAAATGAATTTCAATGAATTTGTGGAATAACTTTGAATTACTTAGATTCTTCAGATATATATCATTCTACATTACTAATATTATAAATGCGAATGTTTACATGGATGAATGTTTGTTACAGTTTGTAGCCTAAATGGATTAACCGATCTTGATGAAATTTGGTAGATGTAGAGCATAGTCTGGAAGAACACATATGCTACTCACTGTTTTTTTAATAGCACGCGGACGGAGTCGATCTGAAAGTTGTCAATGCCATTGTAGCCGATAGCAACAACGGGGTTACAATTATATTGATGTCCTTAAAAATAACTATTAATGTTGCTTATTTATAATTACAACGAAGGCCTTTCACATCGGATAACTAATATAGTAACCATGGCAACCTTGATAAGCTTGAAGTTTGTCTCCATTCCCCGCATGATGGTTTTTTCCAAATTATTTACTCCCTAAGTAGTAGGGTTATTTTTAAAAATAATTAATCAAAAATATCCTGCAATTGCTGACATCCTACGTAACTAAGTAGTATGTGTTTACGGTTTATTGTATTAGTACAGATGTTCAGCACATTCGCCAAGAATTGTCCATTTCTCAGCCATTCATACATCAAAGCTTAATTTACATAGATACGGCTAAGTATCTAGTTACATGAGATAGTGTTATTTATATCTACATACATAGGAGATTGTACAATTAATTACTGGTCTTGACGTACTGCCTAATCATAACGTGCAATGGAAATTCAACTCAAGATCGCAATAGTTTAGAATAAAGCTAATTTCAAATCGGTCCTTTATAAATTTGCATAATTTAAATTTTGAACGGTTTGAAATAATTTTGGTAACCGCTTTAGATTCCATATCAATAACCAATTCATTACAATAACTTTGTACTATTACAAATTAAATTCCGACACGCTAAATCAATACGCGTACAGAAATTGTTGCTATTATTACAGGGATGGTATTAATAATACTCGGCAACTATTTATGTATAATATTATAATTAAAGTGAAAAGAGTAACGTTTAAAAAAATCTGATTGCGTGGACTTCCACATAAAAAATAAAGCAGATTCGGATGCAATATTTGCAGCATTTTATTATAAACGAGCTGTCGCCCGAAAACTTCGTTAGCGCAAATTTGGACCACCCGTTACGCCATTTTGATAGCGCGGAATTAAAAAAAAGTAACCTATAATATGCCCGTCCATGTCAACTACCCTTCAGTGAAAGTCGGGTTGAAATTGACCGAGCCGTTTCGGAGATTACCCGGAACTAACTCGGTTTGCCGACAGACAGACATACAGACAAAAAATAAATAAATGCGATTTTCGTTATCAGCAACGCAAATACATTATCCTCCAGAAATCCGATATTTTTCTTTTGATTTTACAAACAGATACCCTAATTTTATTATATTTATGTATAAATGTAAATTAAATAGTAATTTTAATATCAATGCAAATAACGATATGTGATCCAAAATTATTATCTAAACAGTAGGCCTTCTAATAATTCTATACACACGTAGTGTATTTAAATAGATATAAGTGTGGAAAGTTTACATTTCACAAAACACCATTGTGAGTGATAATTTATAAAACAAATGAATATTAAATGTACCTAACCCAGTTCTGAGTAAAGCAGACGACACAGCTATCCGGAAAATACTCGTCATTAGAGCAAATAGGCAAACCGACCGCGGTCTCCGCTCATCCTCTTTCACGGCCAATTTGCTTTTGTTTCTCCTTTTAATTTCCGTGTCAGTATTTTCGTATTATTCCCTTTTTTCATGACACGAAATATGTTCCCACTTCTATCTATTGTTCATGTTTTTTACAAAACGAGGCGGTATCTCGTCGCGAGGCGTACGCAATGACCCCCGTTGTCGTTCCACTGTAGCGATAAGTTTGATGCCGGTTTTTGTAGAAAAATGTCTCAGAGGGATTTGTCTTTATGTTCTGAGAGAAAAATATTAACAAAGTTTATGAATAACCTTATTTCGCAGCTCTTTGCCCTTCGTGGATGTTCATGATTTTAGTCCCACGAGCCGCTAGGGGTAGGTAAATAAGAACGTAACTACTAAAAAGGTAGATTTTGGAATATCTCTTTCTGTTTAATTCAGATTTGACATTTTAGAAGTAATCGGCTATCCCTGCTTCAAGTAGTCTAAAATAACTATATTATCTATACTAATATAATGAAGCGTAAACACACACTACTTTGTGGTGTAGGATATCAGCATATTCTTGAGTAATTCCCTCATGTGGAAAAGGGATCATAAACTAGAAGCTGCCAACATTAAGGAAGCAAGATTATTATGGTAACGGTACTTTTGACATTTGCAATTTTTGTTATCTACCTAACAGAGGAGTCTATTAATAAATATCATATCTTGTCAAGAAATTATTTTAACAAATAACTACCGACAATTTAACACTTAAACTAATCATTGCAAAATTGTAAATTTTATATTTCTTTCATAACTTATTTTCTCCATGTGTATATTTTATTTTTAAAACTTATTGGAGTCCTTGGCTTCACAGCTTTAACTGGCGATGTTCGTTGAAGTAAAAAAGGCGCAGCATTGAAAAGTGTGAGATATGAGAGAATTCCAGTTGACCTATTTTATTTGTGCTAAATGACGTCCGATACTCACTGAGTCGTGACAATTTGAATGCATCAGCTGTATTAATGACGTCAACATACGCCTGAAGTTCCAATCTCTTGCTACTTATGTTCTGGTTGTGGACCGTCAACGCGTATTTGAAGACATTCTGTATCTCTTCCGTGTTTTGATCGAAGATTGCACCTGAAAAGAAAAACAGTTTTTACTTCTCGGAATTTAAAATCATTAAGAAATAGGAATATTCAGGACGTATTAATTAGCCTAGGACATGGTGGTTGACTATGGGCTGACCCCTTACTTAGGATAGGCTCCGATCTTAGAGTGAACGTAAAGTGACCTGAGTGCATTTAAATACACAAGTAAAATCCTTGATGAACCACGAGGGGAAAAAGTGAATATAAACAGCAGTTATCGATAGAAAGCAATAAACATTTTCTGAGATCTTAATTCAATTAAAGAGAAAGAGTCTCTCCAATAATTTGTAGAAAATATTTCCAAGTTCCGACTTCAAACCTATACCTATAGCTAGAAAGTATAACAGTAAAGCTCTCATAAAAAAAGCAAGTATGGTAGGACCGTATTCTCGGAGATGTCATAGTCTTGAAATATAGCCGCTGACCGTAACGTTTATCGGAATCACTGAAGCAACTCACTTGCTCCTTTAATGTGAACGTAGTTCTAGTTCTTTTTGCTTCACTTAACAACTATCGCAATGTCTTTTCCCTTCAACAGTGTGCGGATATTACTGTCCAGAATCGAAAATTGCTAGAGTATGTACTAATATTTCTTTAATTTTCAAGTCTTTTAGATTTATACGCTTATTTGGACCTCTTACTTTAGACAGTTACTCGTACTTTGAAAACTATACTTATTGTGCTTGGAGTTTTAACAACTTTAGACTTTAAAACGAAAATAACACTTCGATGATTCTTGTTTGAAAAACATCCCTAGAAAAATATGTGTAAAAACAGATTTCTCGCTAATTTTAATTGTAAATAAAATTTCAAACAGAAATTAGTTTGTAACATTAATTATTAAGTTTCCAGCAAGTTCTTAAGCGCTAGAGGATTGCTTCTTTTTAATGCTGGTCTTCATAATTTTTCTTTATATTGTATTTTTATTACAAACCGGATTTGTTTGTACTACGAAGTATCTTACCTGACTGCGAGAGTCCGGCAACTTCATTAAAAAAAGATTAAAAGAAACTTTCCCAGCGCTACAAAAGTGTTTTAAACCTCGGCCGTCCTGTACCACTGAATTTTATGAAGCGATATAATCTTAAGTTGCAATACTGCAGTGGCGAAAAGTTTATTTGCACTTTATCTTTAGAATTTAAAAGTCAGAGTACTTTTAATCGACAAACATTTTAAAATATTTTACACAAAACTTACTAGTCTTACTACATACTAATATTATAATTGCAAATGTTTAGATAGATTGATGGATGTTTGTTAGAGTTTGTAGCCTAAACGGCTGAACGGATCTCGATGAAATTTGGCGTAGATGTAGAGGACAGTCTGGAAGAACATATAAGTTACACGCTTTTGTTTACTTTTCTTTTTTAATTTCGCGTGGACGGAGTTGCATGTGAAAGCTCGTTAGTAATTAATTGTAAATACCAATAGCTTCTGTTATATTATGACTCTGTTGTCCCGATTACTAACAATCTAAGAAACATTTACTTGCTATTTCTTGTTATAACCATTGTAGGGGTACATTAGAAGTAAAAGGTTTCTGAATCCATACGAATAAAGCAATCAATCAAGGAAGCCAAGCGTTGTTACTGAAAACGCGCCACATCAAAACACAAACAATATTTGGTTTCAATTAAAATACTTCCATTTTTCATCCAAAGGTCAAACAACCAATACAACATTTTAATTTTACTATATTGTAAACTAGCTTTCGCCCGATACTCCGTCCGTGTGAAATAAAAAAAAAACATTGTGAATTATAGTTTATGTTACTCACAGATAAATCACCTTTCTAGCGGTTAAATGATTTTTAAAATCGTCCCAGTAGTTTTTGAGCCTATTCATTACAAACAAACAAAGTTTTTATCTTTATAATATTATAGGTTAGAAAATTTAGATGAATGGAAGGAGGGATGTTTATTAAAGTTTGAGGCTTAAACTGCTGAACAGATGTTGTTGAAATTTGCCATAAATGTAGAGCATAGTCGGGAAAAAATCACAAGAACAAATTCCGATCTAAGTCGCGGGCGAAGGTAGTTTCATATAAAACCTAATTTTTTGCACAAATATGGTTTTATAAGGCACTACTTTCTTCTTAATGGTGTAGTAGAAACTGGCTACCAGCCAGATATTTTCACAGGAATTCTTCACCTAATTACATTTTATGTCATACAAATAAGTGTTGAATTAAAAAGCTAAATATTTCATTTACTTGATGTTATTAAGTACTCGTAGAACATATAGAAAAATAAACCATACTCAAAATCAATGTTTAACAATCAAAAGAACAATGATATAAATTGTATAAGGATTTTGTTGAATACCAAATATTATCAAAAGTTTGATGAATATTTCTTAAATGTGCCTCTTTTTAATGAGCTCCCCTTTTTAATCACCAAGACTTATGGCCGGTTACCTACATTTAACAATTCGTTAATTTTTTTGGTACAAGAACTTCACGTTTCTGAACGAAGTAACTTGAGTTTTGTTGCGTTGAAACTTAGGATAACCTAATAAATCATATAGTAATGATGAAATAGAAGGAGACTATATAGATATAGATAGAAGGAGATATCTATACTAGTGTAAGATCCTCAGGGTTAGTAAAAGTTGATCGCTACACTTTCAGCAATATACGTCAGAACCAGAGGGTAACTGGTAAGATAACTTCCCTAGCTGGTAATGTTAAGAACTTTATTCAGATATTGTTAAAACTTTTCTCGCTGTTGTTGTTTCGAGAAAACTCAATATGCTTGGAAAATTCGTAACATTACATCGTCTGCCTGATACAAACATGCTATGTATCTAATTTATCTAGAAATTATTTAGGTATAGTTAATAGAAAGTACGTCAGTGGCTCAGAATTTAAGCACTTGTAATCTACAGGTCTTGGGTTAGAATCCAACCATGTACTAATGTAATTTTTGTATTTTCGAATTTCATACATAATTTACCCGACATCCTTACGGTGACGGAAAACATCGTGATGCAACCTGCACAGCACAGCAAAGAAATTCAAAGATATGTATGAAGTCAACCAACCCGCAGTGGGCCAGCGTGGTTGACTATGGCCTAGCCACCCTTTAATAGGGTAGACTCCAAGCTCCTCGTTGGGAATGTATAGTGAACTAGTGGTGATGAATAGGAAGCGACGTCTGTAACAGCTGGTTTCTCAGCTACATTCAACCATTCGTTAGTGGTGGAAATAAATAAAATGCGTTTCCGAACTACGTAACTTGTGAATCAATATCAATTTCAAAATAAATGTATACTTCAGCAACCCAGTATAAAACTCGAACAACTCAATAATAACTACTTATGTTAATCTTAACTTTGAATGCATTTAAATAAAAACGCGGCGTAATAAAATTGAGCCAAGAAAATTAGCAGTATACCGTTTAACTCGTATCTAACGTGACTTGCAATAGTAAATAAATTTTAAAATTACATTTAACAGTTAGGAATTGAACATAAGTTTCTCACGTACCACGAAAAATAAGGCCAAGCTACTCTAAAGTGAGCTAAATGGCCTCCGCCTCCTAATCACTTGGCAAAGCGCAATGCGAAAGACATTGAGAAAACGCTCTTGCTTAAGGGCTACATTATATCACTTGATGTTTCCCATTTGTCTAAAATGATATTAACTCGCCTATATTATATTTACTTGTTCCTACGGTGAAGGAAATCATTGTAATGCAACCTGCACATTCTGTGAAGTCATCAACCCTCAGTAGGCCATTGTAGGTAAGCTCCAGGGGCCCGGATTAAAATTACATATTTCTTCTAAAATAAGTATTATATACCATAGTTTTCAATTGACTATTATAATCCTTATCGAGATTTGGTTTAAAATTGAAGACAACGCCATCTATTGACAACTGAATATAAGATATTTTTACCATTAAGTAAATAATACTGTAAAAAAAGTCAATTCAATTTATAACTCAAATATACTCTACACGAAACATTTTCGTAAATACCAATAACGAAATATATTCAATATCCGTTACAGGAAAGGTTTTTTTTTATTTTTACTTGTTAATATGTTCTTGGTTTTAAAACTTTTTTTTCATATGTATGAAATTCAAGTGAATTCGCTTTTACTAGGTTACTATACGGACTGTTTGCAGTTTCTATGAAATAAAAAAATAACTTAAATTGTTTGCACTATCAGGCTAGAAATTTTAGGTGAATCGCTAAAATGTGTTACAAAACTTTTTTGCATCAAATATTTTTCGTTAAAATTGTATTTCGAGTCATTTATGTGAACAAAGCTTTGAATGTATCATTGTTTAAGCTAGTTTCATTTCCAAAATGTTTTATATTTAAAATAATATTTTTGACGCTCGTTGCATAAATTCGTTCAGAGCTTTCGCTTTTCGTCGAAATTTCAAATTATTTGTTAGATACGAGAATGTTTAATTCGCTTTTTATTTTAAGACTAGCTGTTCCCGTGCGACTTCATCCGCATGAAATTATAAAATTTTTTTTTCATTGTTTACATTTGTCAAATTATTGATTACAAATGTCAAAATGACTTGACATGATGACAACCTTGCTTCCTTGATGTTGGCAGCAACTTATGGTCTCTTTCCCACATTAGGCTTTTTATCCAAAATATTTACCCCCTATGTTTAATGACGTTTAAATATATAGCCTAAAGCGTGACGGTAGTGTAGGACTTTTTATTAAAAAAAGAACTATTCAAAAATGTGCTGTAATTGCTGACATCTTAGGCAACAAAGAAGTGTATGTTTATGATTTATTATAATATTATAGATTAAACTGGACAATATTTTATGTACATTAACAATTAAATTTGATGATTTAATTTATTAAGAATATAAACGGTTTTACTGAGCAATTAAGAGCGCGCACACTTTAACCAAACTATCGCACAACTGTTTAGTTGCGCTCAGATTTCTAATTGCTTATATGGAGGTGCGCACATTACTCGATTTTTAGTTGCCGTACTAAACTGTGCTGCAAAACAATCGACAGTCGACAATCTGACAACTATTGTGCGATAGTTTTGTCAAAGGTGTGCGCTCTAATAGTACAAGGTTTTTTGTATATTTCATTTTCAGTAGTATACATGTAGGTTGGCACAAAATGACCACTGATACTATAGGATTAAGTCTAGTTGTCGAATTCCTGAGAGAATTCTTTTCTTTTTCTCTCACTCGTCTTTAATTAGGGATGGCACTTCGAACGCAAAGCCTTAATTACGAAGTATCTTGATTGCGGAAATACGTATTAGATGGACCGATTTTATATAGAAAAACATAGGTACAGTAAACATTTTGTTAAGAAAATAATCTATTCTTTTATATTGTCTTTTTATTGCGAAGCCGATACCCATAGACGGCCACAGAATATGTATCGAGTGTTTATTTTATTGATCTAGTTGGTATTGACCAACTATTAAATTGTTAATACCGAATTTCATCTCAATTTTTACGGTAACCATTTTCAGAATATGCCTAGCTACAAAATATTAAACAAATAAACTAGTACAAAACTATGTAACTTCGAGCATTATTTATAATTGGTTTTATATTCGACTAGCTGTCGCCCGCAACTCCGTCACCGTGAGATTAAAAAAAAAACAAAAGAGAATGTGTTCTTGTAAGTGTACTTCCAGACTGTCCTCTACATCTATACAAAATTTCATCTAAACCCGTTTAGCCGTTTGGGCTACAAACTCTAACAATCAATCCATCTAAACATTCGCATTTTTAATATTACGATTATGATTATTGTTTTAAGTAGTTTTATCATTGCGAAGTTAAATACTGAGTTAGTAATATTGTTGGCCGAATTTTTTATTTTATTATAAAGGTACCTAGATAAGTGAATGGTTGTCTTCATTCAAACACTAGTATTAGCCCGTGATGTCGCGCTAAATTGAAAAAAAAATCTTTGTATGAAAGAACCTACACATTCTTCTAGGCTATGTTCAGCTATTTAAGATACATAGTAACAAACATCCATCCATTTAAAGCTTCGCATTTATGATTTGAATATCTACGAGCATAATTGTAAACAAAACCTTGCCATTCGAGACAAAGCCGATGATCGGATTGTGACTTCCAAACTTTCCAAATTATTCAGAATTAATCTTTTCCAGTTAAAATATCATTACTTTTGATTTAAAATTTCTTCCTTACCGTTACCTAAAGCTTGTTTAGAGATTGTTAATAAATATTTACACATTTTGAAAACAATATCTTTGGAATTTAAACTTGTATCATTATTGTAGATGTACAAGTATAAGAAATTCTCGTCACATATCACGATGTATGTCGATGTTAAATGTTGAAAATCCGAAATCGAATCCGATGTCTAGGATTGAATTATGCTAAATTGCTGAAATATCCATTCATTTCATATTAACATACTTCAGAAACACATTTCACGAAGTTATCAAACCGAAAAACTAACGAACGGTTAAATATAGATGGGAAACCGGGTATTAGATACTTTGTATGCGACTAACTTGATGTTAACACTAAGTTATATATTTAGTTAGATAGTGTGTTATAATATTTTATTCATTTTCCTAATGATGTGGCTTAAGCGTTGTTCATAATCCATTAAAATTAGTTACACATTGTAACCTACTACTTTTTGTAGCACGCATTAATGCCCGCGTAGCGTCGTAGCTAATCTCGTAGCGGGTGGGTGTAAGTGAGACGAACGCATTGGGGAAGAAAGAGAAAATCGATATAGCACATTCTGTCCGAGCGAGAGGATAACCAGTTAAAGGGAGTACACAACAAAACATGCAAACGACAATTTTTACTATATTTGAATATCGCTATGTTATATTATGGCAAAATATTAAAATAAAAAACTTAAATTGAATTTATAAGAATATTTATCTAAACGTTTAAAGCAAGAAAATGGCATGTAAAAAAATATTTATCCTGAGAAGTTAAATAAAATTTTATTACAAGAATTGAATGAAGTGACTTACCGACGACGATCTTCTCTGCAGAAAAAGGCTGTGCCGACACGCCGACGTAAAACAATAAGAAGCCGGCGATAACTAAAAGGGTTATATTTTTACTGTTCATCTTGTCTGATCACACCCGTTCGTATACAATATATATTTATAATTTCAATTAGATGATAGGATCATCGTAATCAAAGTAAATTTAGCAATAACTATGAAAAACGTGAACGATTAAGTGACGGGATGTTGCGCGCAAACCTGAGACTTAGCGACTGGTGCGAGGCGGTGCGGGGGCATGGGGCGCGGGGGGAGGGGTGACCCACCCCACCTCTGCCAGTTCCCGCTCACTGGCTTATTCCACCCCGCAACAATAATGCCAAATTTATATTAATCCATCCCGTTTTTGCTACCTTCCATATAAAATAATCTTTAAAAAACTTTCAGGATTAACACAATTTATGTTTTATAGTAATATACAATATTAGGTATGAAAATTCATCATATATAGTTATATTGGAGGCTCCTTAGCCGAAAGGTTCCTTTCACCCACCCATTTCCCCTCCGGCCCTTTCTCCTTCACACATTAGCCAAAATTCTCAGCGAAACCGCTGATCCTGCCTATTTCGTTTGTGTTAAATATGTTAAATCGATAGTAAGATTCTAAGGAATTTATAAAAAAAAATGTAGAAATAACACATCCCAAATGAAATACATACATCACAGTAGAAAAAATAATATGGTTTTTGACAAAGATTAGCAAAGCACAATACTTTTACTGTATAAACACTATAAATAAAGAAATGAGTTTAAAAAGCTACCTTATTTATGAAAAAGCGAATGCTCCCAAAAACGTATATAAAACATTATGTATAATTGTTTATAGTTTTTATAGGAAAAAATTAACAACATTACGTACCCAAAACAATTTGTACCAAATTTTCCACAATACAAATTTAATTAAATAATTCATGTAATTTCTAATCCCCTAAATTTAAGTAACACCCTTGCCACGAGAGCACTTTCTCTTGTTCTATCGTAAGAAATTAACGTCAAACTAAATATTCGATTTTCGTCGGCACATATGAAGGAGTATTACAAAGAGACATTTTAATTGAAATATTGTCGTCTTAGTGCGTAATTTTAATTGTTATTAAATTTGTAAAGTACTCTACTTGTGCCAAACATATAATTAAGACTGAATTTTGGAACCCATTTATTACATTTAAGTCTATAGATGTCACAAAAAAAAGCTTTAATAAATAATAAAATAACGATAAGCTTTAATTCTTACTTTTGAATATTGATATACAAAATGTTATATTATCGTCAATGATTCGTGTTTGCAAACTAAGTTTTAAAGTACATTTATTGAATAGTAAAGGTGAGACGCAAAGACATGCCAACTTATTTCTCCAGCTTTTAGATTCCGAGAATCGCTTTCTCAGTTTATAAAGTCGCAGGAAATTAAGTTTTAAGTTTGTTCATTTTTCATAGAAAAGCTACTTTAAAGATTGTAAATTAAAAAGTAAAGGTCGACTGAAATTTGATAATTTTTTTGTGTCATACATTTATTAAATTCGAAAAGTGTATTCATGTCGCTTAAAATATATGTAAGAATTCATCTCATACTAGCTGTTGCTCCCTACTTAGTCCACGTGAAACTATAAAAATTAATAATAAAAGTTGTCCTATGTTATTCACAGATAAATTACCTTTCTAACGGTGAAAGATTTTTTAAATTATTTTTAATTGTCATAAAATATTTTAGGACTAATCTAATTTAGAAAACAAGCTAAATTTTCCTTTTACTCTGTTAGCATACATAAAAATGCCCTTATTATAAGAATACCAATTTACGTTAAATCGCAATACTAGCAAAATGGCAATAAATAAAGACTGCTAGCGATGTACTTAAAACTTTACTTCGTAGCATATTAAATTCTAGATACATACTGGAATTTTACATTTAATATTTTGGACGCATTACTTATATTTTACCCTTTCAGAACACTTTTATTAATGGCCAAAATCCATTTATTAACGTCCAATGAAAGTACTTAAGAACAGTGCCATTGGAAAAATGTAGCTGTGTACATTAACGGTCGACCGGAGTTATTACAATGTAGTATTTAGAAATTACGTTATGTATATTGTTTTATGTTATATTATGTTATGTATATTGTTCCCATGATTAATGTAGTAAATATTATGTGTAATTTTTTGACGCAGCATTTCAGTTCGTAGATAGGCTTAGCAAACGAGTGAATGATTCGACCAAGATTGCAACAATAGACAAAGAGGATAATTCATTTTAATTCCTATGATATTTGAGAACCAAATTGATTTAGATAGTTCTAAATATTGTTTAAGATACGACCGCGTTCTACATTACCCAAGTAAACTCTGGGTTTCTTTAAAATGTCTTCTAAAACGAAACGAGTAGGAAGTTTAATATCTTTAAGGAATTGACGAACCGGAGTCCCTTTGAAAGCTCAAAGGGGAAATAAAAAGATATTTCCATTGCAAATTTGGTTTGATTTTGATCGCTACTTTGGGTAAAAGACGAGGAACAAGGTTGGCCTCGAACCTAGTTTGAAGTACGTAAAATGCAAATTTTGAGTATTTTTAGAAGAAAATTAAGCCAAGCTAGAAGACACTTATTTCAAACACAAGTGATTTATTTATTTGAGACTTTAAAATAATCAACTTTATTTAGATTAAATACTACACGTTCCTTTAAATTAAGTACTATCGATATGATATAATAAATAATACGAATAAAATGATACAAGTCGCTCAAGTTTCATTTACAAATTATTAAGGCCATGAATTGCAAATTCACAATCTTTCCAACGGAAGTTTAGCTTCTTTCAGAAGCGAAACATTAAATCTGTTGGAAAATGTGTAAGACTTTATGTTTATTTTATTGGTGTTTGCTCGGTTTCTGTATTGGTATGAAAGAGTCTATAAAATTTGACGCGTAAATTTTTTCTTGCATATTTCTAATTCTTTTACGAACCGAAATATTTTTATACTAATTTTAAGTGAAAAATAAACATCAGAGATAGTAAGAAATAATAATATAGTAGTTAGGAAATGACAATAACATTGTTTTAAGTTTGCACCAAATATTTTAAGTTGGTATTTTAGCAGTCTCCAAGTTGTGGCTTGTTACTTGCTTTTAAGCGGACTGTTTCACAAGAAGTGGTTCTATACATTTTGCAATATTTTGCATGCATATTTCTTGCATAAAATTATGTCTAGGGTATCTACTTATTTTAACAATTTCCTTTCATAACTTCAATTTCTATTTTTTATATATTATTACTTAAACTGTAGTATTATTTTAAGCACATATTTAAATATTCAATAATTATTCGTACGTTAATATTTACATTTTTAATGAAAAATGTTGTTAATATTTATAATATTCAATAATTAGTAAATGTATAAATTGTAGCTAACATTAGTTTTTACTGTACAATAAAACTTTTAATATTTTTTCTTGGAGATAAATTCTAAATGAAAACGGTATTATCACCTTCTGAGAAAATTGTCGTTTTACAATGAAGCCATAACTGGCTAAAACTCAAGCAGACGACGAGGGAAAAGAACTTCACAAAGAAGTGTTATTAAAACGTCGTGAGATGAAAACAAACTCAATTTAATTACGAGCCGAGCATTCTTTTAGAGATTTTAAAAAGATGTCTCAGGGAGATGAAAATAATACTTTCTTGTCGTAATAAATTGGCACGTAATACTTATCAATTTATGAATACTTCCATCCTTGTAATGTAATATTAATATCTTACATGGTACCAAAAGGCCCAGAAAATATTGTTATTATACATCTTTTTTTGGACGCACAATAATTATTTGCTTAATTATTTATTGTATACAATAACACAAACATTTACAATCTTTCCTCTTCCACATTCATGTATCTTTACAAACAGATTTCACGATATTATCAAATAATGATGAACACGGAACAAGTAATACAAAATGATGAAAAGATTCTATCCAATATTTTATAACTATTAATCGCAAAGAGTATGCAAAAATGTCGGTTACCTCAAAGTTAAATCTGTCGCGCTTTGTGTATTCCTCCTCTGACATTTACAAAGAGAATTCCTCTATTGTAGACGGCGTATCGTTTAAAAGGAAGACATATTTAAACAAGATATTTAACGTCAGCATAATATTTTGTATATTACATAGTTTAAAATATGATTATGAATATCGTTAACCTTAACTTTATCTATTGAAGTTTAAATTCTTTAAGATTTTAGATCTTTTTTTTCGGATGTATTTTTTTTTAGCAAATAATAATTGAAATTAACAGTGGTAGATGGCAGCGATAAGACCGTGTTTGACGGACGGCTCCCCATAATAAAACCATAACCACACAGAGGACAGGCTGGAAGTGAAAAAAAAAATCCGCTTTTCGTCTCACGAGTGCGCGTAATTGAAGCCTAGTTTTTAGTCCTCGTTTACTTCACCATTTTCTTTTAAGGAAAAATTTGACGAAGGTTGAAACTCTTACTGTGAGTCCTCACGTCCATCGATTAGAGAAAGGTAACTCATCTGTTTTTGTCTATGTATATGAGCAGCGGTCGGTTCGCTATTTCGATGACATAAAGAGGCTGCTTGCTCATTTGCCATTAAAAAAAACTATTAAAAATATAGTCATAAAATTTTGTATTTTATGTTTTTTTTTTTATTGACTTAATTGGTTTCAAATTATTATTCTAATTTGTTAACTTACTTTGTTTTTACCTTATTCACATTCAATAACACCATAATGCATACTCGTACAATCGTTGCAGTACAAACTTACCTTCAGACTGGATTATAAGTAGAATAACATTTAGCAATTCCTCTCCCTAAGGATCGTAAAATATGAAAGCAATAAATGTCAGGCACAAACAGCTAAGTTTCACAACATAAAAGTTTGCGGACCGCTACTTCTGGAGAGACGGCCTCTGAGACCAAGTGGCTATTCAGCGTTTTTCTATAATATTGTTTTGTAGCTTGGATTATATCGACTTTACCTGTCCAGCTTCCTTAAGCAACTACTATTTAGTACCCGCAGCGTTTTGCTAAAGCTTAACATATTTTTTTTCATGTTTGAAAGAATTACATTGTAGTTATTATAGAGGTTCCCTATTTATTGCACTTTTTTGTAATTTATAAATATACATGTCTATTATTTATATGTAGCCAACGACTATGTACATTAACCGTAA